GAGTCCAGCGACATAGCCATTACGCTAACTGCTGGTTCCCAATAAAATAATTCTTTAAAAAGGAAAAGAAGTCCTATCCTTGTCAACAAGAAAATAGAACAGAATTTGATTTGGCCTAGTCTGCCTTAAAAGTCTGACTTGTTCTGGACCAGAGATGGTAAACTGGGGCTGGGATGAGGTGAACATCTAGCTTGGGTCCTGGACATCTTGGAAGGACAGCAGTCACTCTACACATAGTCCTGGGTTCAGATAGGACTGTTCAAAGGAGCCTTTTAATCCATCACGTGGCCCTGCCTAGGATTCAAAACTACTTCTGTTCAGTTTAGAATCTTCCCCAGCCTTGGGCCAGCAGGTGACATGGAGGTTAAAGTGCTAGATCCAACACAGCTGACTCCACGGTTTGAGGCTTGACCCACTGGCTTGAAAATCATGCCATGTACAATGGCAGTGTGGCCATCCATCCTGGGGGGTGGGGGAGTGTAATTTCTCACTTTCCTTCTCTCTGGGGAGAGCACACGTGCCCTATAGAAAAACTGGAAATAAAAAAAACGTCTTCTTCAGATCTTTTAAATACCCCAGCACCCCAGGCCTCCCCCCATTTCTCTGACCTGGGGTCCTGGGATCAGGGTTAAGTTAATTGCCTAACACAGGTCACTGTCTTTACCCAGAAAGGGTTAGGTAAAGGGAGGGGCAAACTGGGGCAATCTGCTGTTGGGGCAGACAGATCAGAATGCCATGGAGATCTTACATCATACCATCAGGCACTGGGAGCAGGGAATGGTGAGATCTGGCTAATTAAAATATATGGTGGTGGGGCCAGCGAGTGGCGTGGTGGCTAAGGGCACTGGACTTCCACATGGCCGACCATGGTTTGAGTCCTGGACCTGGTGGCTTGCTTTCTTACTCTCTCATTCTCTCTCTCTCTCTCTTTCACTCTGTCCCTCTCTGGTCAAATTTAAGTAAATAAATAAAGTTAAATAAAATAATTATTTTTAAAAATTTAAAAATAAAATATGTGGCAGGGCTGGCAGGTGGCATGGTGGTTAAATGCTGGACTTTCAAATGGCCGACCGTGGTTCGAGTCCCAAACCTGGCAGCTTGCTTTCTCACATTCCCTCTCTCTCACTCACTGTCCCTCTTCAGTCAAATTAAAATAAATAAATATATAAATGAAGTTAAATAAAATAATTATTTAAAAAAAAAACACACAAAAATGAATTCTTTCTCCCTTCTTCCTTGACTGCAATGCATGGCTCACACACTCAGGACCAGGTTTACAAGACAAATAGGCACCATAACACAAAAAGAAGCAGATGCTCATTCTCAGGGTTATACAAGTGCCTCCTTACTTTGCCCTCAGAACCCTTAATTGGATCACTCTAGTCCCTACCAAATTTACTCTCTCTTTCTTCAGTCCAGCTTAGTGATACCTTTTCCTGTTCTATTCTCCAGGACAGAGATGGTAATATCTTAGTTTTTAGCTGTTGAGCTCTGGAAAGTAATTTCTTCACATGTATTCCTGTCATATTTTGTGCACAATTCTGTTCCAACATATACTCAGTTTAGCCCATCAGACATTTGTTGAAAATGTGCTAGGCTGTATGAATAAAGGCAGAGAAAAACAGAGAGACAGAAAGCGAGAAATCCCCCCCCCCAGGGGAAATGGCCATGCTGCAATCCCTTTTCCTCCATTCTCCTCTCAGAATCTTGGGCGTGTACGCAGAGGCGCCTGTTGTCAGTTTAAGCCACCGGATCCAGGACTCGAACCGTGGTCGACTACATGGGAGTCCAGAGACATAGCCATTATGCCAACTGCTGGTCCCAGTACTAAATAATTCTTTGGGTTTTTTAAAAATTATTTTATTTTATTTATCCATTCATTTATTTTAATTTAACCAGAGAGAGAAAGTGGGAAAGCAAGCTGCCAGGTTCAGGACTCGAACCATGGCTGGCCATGTGGGAGTGTCCAGCGTCTTAACCATCATACCACCTGCCTGTCCCGATAATAAATAATTCTTTTTAAAAAACAGAATATATAGCATTTGCTGATTACTGCTGGTGTTATACTTGGGTGACAGTGCTGCAAGAACTAGAAAGCAGTAAGAACTCCGTTCTTGACTCAGTTCTTGAACACAAGTCAATTTTTTCGTTCTTTAATTTTTGCTATAGGATGCATGTACTTTCTAGAGACAGAGAGAGGGAAAGTGAGAAAGCAATCCCTGGAGTATGGCTACACTGCAATGACTTCTCTTTCATTCTTCTTTTGGGATTTTGGGCATGCACATGAACCCACCATGTTTAAGCCACTCAAATCATGAAGTTGGCCGTGTGGGATTTAGCCGCCTCAGCCACCATGCCACTGCCTGGCCCCACAAGTCAGGCCTCTAAGACAGAGCTTAGGACTGTCCCCATTGACTACACTGACTATGAAAGAATTTGGTTCTGAGTTTCACTTGGCTACTTGGATCATGCGTAAACAGGTGTGTGTGCTTCTTGGGATGAAGAGGGCTTGGAAGCACTCTGGAAGGAAAAAGCCAGCAGTCCTCTAGAGCATCTCATATCCTATTCTCCTCTACCCCTCTACCTGTAGGTTCCAGAAGCTGCACTTGGCCTGTGGCTCGGAGCGCTTAATCCTGCGCTCCCCTCTCCAGTCCCAGATCTCCCTGTGTGAGGCACCTACCAGCCCTCTGCAGCTGCCTGGCGGCAATGTCACCATCACCTATAGCTATGCTGGAGCCAGAGCACCCATGGGCCAGGGCTTCCTGCTCTCCTATAGTCAAGGTAGGCTGGGCAGGGGTGGCCAAGAGCCCCCTAGAGCAGGCAGGGAAGCCTCTAGAGAAGGGCAGGCTTCCTGGCTTCCGGCACTTCACAGCCCCTCTCATGGTGCCTTTGCAGATTGGCTGATGTGCCTGCAGGAAGAGTTCCAGTGCCTGAACCACCGCTGTCTACCGGCTGCCCAGCGCTGTGATGGGATCGATGCCTGTGGCGATGGCTCTGATGAAGCTGGTTGCAGTTCAGACCCCTTCCCTATCCCATCCCTAGTCCCTATTCCCACCCAACCCTGCAATCTCACCTTGGAAGATTTCTATGGGGTCTTCTCCTCCCCTGGATACTCAAACCCAGCCTCAGTCTCCCACCCCCAGTCTTGCCACTGGCTGCTGGACCCCCATGATGGCCGGCGGCTGGCGGTACGCTTCACAGCCCTGGACTTGGGCTATGGAGATGCAGTACATGTGTATGATGGCCCTGGACCCCCAGAGGCTCCCCGTCTGCTACGCAGCCTCACCCACTTCAGCAATGGCAAGGCTGTCACTGTGGAGACGCTCTCCGGCCAGGCTGTCGTGGCCTACCACACAGTTGCTTGGAGCAGTGGTCGGGGCTTCAACGCCACCTACCACGTGCGGGGCTACTGCTTGCCTTGGGACCGGCCCTGCGGCTTAGGCTCTGGCCTGGGAGCTGGTGAAGGCCTGGGTGAGCGCTGCTACAGTGAGGCACAGCGCTGTGATGGCTCTTGGGACTGTGCTGATGGCACAGATGAAGAGGACTGCCCTGGCTGTCCACCCGGACACTTCCCCTGTGGCGCCGCTGGCACCCCTGGTGCCACTGCCTGCTACCTGCCTGCTGACCGCTGCAACTACCAGACTTTCTGTGCTGATGGAGCAGATGAGAGACGCTGCCGGCATTGCCAGCCTGGCAACTTCCGATGCCGGGATGAGAAGTGCGTGTATGAGACGTGGGTGTGTGATGGGCAGCCAGACTGTGCCGACGGCAGCGACGAGTGGGACTGCTCCTACGCCCTGCCCCGCAAGGTCATTACTGCCGCGGTGATTGGCAGCCTTGTGTGCGGCCTGCTTCTGGTCATCGCCCTGGGCTGCACCTGCAAGCTCTATGCCATTCGCACCCAGGAGTACAGGTCAGTGAGAGCGGGGCTGGCCTAGGGGAGTAGGGACCGAGGCTGAGACAGGCTCCATGCAGTATCAGGAGAGCATGAAGGTGCCCACCAGGGGAGGTCCCCATGACCAGCTCGCAGGTTGTCCCCAGGACAGGTGTAGGTACTGAAAGTTATCTCAAGGGAGGAGGGGACCCAGATGGTGTTTGGAAAACCCATGGCATAACTCAGCTGTCCTGGGCTGGGTGTGGAGGGAGGCGAGCTGTCTGGCCTGGGACAGGCTGCCCTGAACAGGAACCACCAGTGACTGAGCATCCCCCATTCCTTCCAGCATCTTTGCTCCTCTCTCACGGATGGAGGCCGAGATTGTACAACAGCAGGCACCCCCCTCCTATGGGCAACTCATTGCCCAGGGCGCCATCCCACCTGTAGAAGACTTCCCTACAGAGAACCCTAATGACGTAAGTCACTCCCCCACCCCAGCACCTCCTGGTCCCTGCCCAGCTGTGGCCCTGCACATGCCCTCCTTCCTGCTGTCTCTGGCTCTGACTGCTATCTGCCTCCTCTTCTTGCAGAACTCAGTGCTGGGCAACCTGCGTTCTCTGCTACAGATTTTGCGCCAGGATATGACTCCCGGGGGTGCCACAGGTGCCCGCCGCCGCCAGCGGGGCCGCTTGGTGCGCCGTCTGGTGCGCCGACTCCGCCGCTGGGGCCTGCTTCCTCGAACCAACACCCCAGCTAGGACCCCTGAGACCAGACCCCAGGTCACACCTTCCACTGGTCCCCTTGAGGCCCCAGATGGCAACACAGGTCCAGCCCGAGAGGATGGGGCAGTGGGTGGGCAGGATGGGGAGCAGGCACCCCCACTGCCTGTCAAGGCCCCCCTCCCATCTGCCAGCACATCTCCAGCCCTCCCTACTATCCCTGAGGCTCCAGGTCCATTGCCACTAGAGCCATCACTACTCTCTGGAGTGGTACAGGCCCTGCGAGGCCGTCTCTTGCCCAGCCTGCGGCCCCCAGGACCAGCCCGGACCCCACCTGGACCTCACACAGCAGTCCTGGCCCCAGAAGATGAGGATGATGTGCTGCTGGTGCCACTGGCTGAGCCAGGGGTCTGGGTGGTGGAGGCAGAAGATGAGCCACTGCTCGCCTGAGGGGACCTGGCTCCCTGGGGGGGACTCTTATAACCAAGTCAGAACACCTTATAAGGTGGCTCAGCTTCCCTGCCCCCATTCCTTCCCTGTCCCTCAGGCTGAAGAGACGTGGCCTCCCATTCACCCTGTGTGCTGCTGTAAAGTTAGGTGTTCCTCAAGCTGGGAGAGAGCTCAGAGTCCCCTCTGTACATGGCCAGAAACCATTATCCCCCACTGCCCCTCTCCCCCAGCACTGCCATCCGGGTAGTTTTTAAAAAGTAAAGTTCTTAAAGGGTCCAGGCCTGGATACTCCATCCTTGCCAAATACTACCCCCCCCCCTAAAAAGTGGTCTTAAATACCAGAAGGCCAATTAACTAGAAACTCCCAAGGGGTACATTTGGGCAGGCCCTGAGGTTTTGCCAACAGTAATCCCTCCTGCATTATGGCTCACAAAATGAGCACATCAATGCTTTATTCCATAGGTAAGTCACTGCCTGGGAAGTTAAAGTAAACAATAAAGGAATCGTAAATTCCCAAACCGCACAGTTCAGCTGTGAGGCTGAGCTCTGCCTACTCTGCCCAGCTTGGTTCATACTTCCCTCCCTTATCTTCTCCCCCTGGGAGGCCTCTGCTCAGCCCCCTCCTTCTGGCATACTAGTCATCCAGCCACTTCACTTGTTCTTTGTGTTTGATTTTTGCTACAGGGTTCATGCATTAGCCAGAAACAGAGAAGGAAAGTGAGCCATCACCCCCTGTGGGGGGATAGCCATGCCACAATCCCGTCTCCATTTTCCCCTCTGGGTCTTGGGCGCATATGCACCAAGCGTGATTTTCAAGCTGCTGGGTCTGGGACTCTAACAATGGAATCAGCCAGATGGGATTCAGTGACTTAACCTCCATGCCATCTGCTGCTCCCAACTGTTTCTTTCACTCCTGATCTTTTTAAGTTGATTTATTTCTTCCATGAGTGAGAGAAAGAGAGAGAGCACCCCAACAGGGTCTCGATGCCATGATCCACTCCCAGACTCAGCCAGCCCTGAGTCAGTCAGGCAGCCCATGTCTGGCAAACCAGGAACCTTCCCACATGGGTCACCCTCAGAGAGGTGCCTTGTTTTACTACTGTGCCACTGTCAGGTGCCTCAGCCTTGGTTTTCGTACTAGTAAAAGTTCTAGGACCTCTGGGGCTCATAGGTGGTGTGGTAGTTAAGGGTGTTGGACTCCCACATGGCTGACCATGGTTTGAGTCCCAGACCTGGTGTCTTGCTTTCTCATTTTCCTTCTCTATCTCTCTCACTCAATCCCTCTCTGTTCAAATTAAAATAAATAAATAAAGCTAAATAAAATAATTTTTTAAAAAGAATTATTTTATTGGGGCCGGCGGGTGGCATTGTGGTTAAGGGCACTGGACTCACATAGGCCACTGTGGTTCAAGTCCCAGACTTGGCGGCTTCTTTTCTCACTTTCCCCTTCTCTCCCACTTTGTCCCTCTCATGTCAAATTAAATAATTTTTTAAAAATTATTTTATTTAACTTTATTCATTTTATTTTTAATTTAACCAGACAGGAACAGAGAGAGAGAGAAAGTAAGAAAGCAAGCCACCAGGTCCAGGACTCGATCCACAGTCGGCCATGTGGGAGTCCAGCATCCTTCACCACCATGCCATCTACCAGCCCCAATAAAATAGTTCTTAAAAAAAAATTCTAGGACCTCTTAAGGACCAACTGTCCACCCTCGCCTGGGTTCCTGTGACTGACACCAGGTGTGAGCGCCAAGCCTCTACTTGGTGCCAGGCTGGAAGTCAGGGGAGCCAGTTGGGTCCTGCATCTATGGAGCACTCTAGGACACAGATCCTGGGAGGAGATTGTCCTTGGTAGAAGGCAGGAGCTGTGACTCCTGCCCTCCACTCTCCATCCCCACCGGGCACGTTAAGGTCTTTCCTATGCAAGACAGATGAGCTCTCAGCCAGGATGAGCTCAGAAAATTCATACTCAGTGTGAAGGCGTGGGCATCACTGTGGCCAAATCTAAGAGTTCTTCCTGGAAGAGGGCCCAAACTGGATTCTAAAGAATGCTGTCAGCAGTTGGAACAGAGCTCGAATTCTAGGCAGGATGAATCCACGGGACAAGCCAGCTAAGGAGACATGAGGGCTAGAGTTGGAGCCTGGACCTCCTGAGAAGCTGCAGTGGAGCCCAAGCTGCAACCAGAGCCAGAGAGCTGGGGAGGGGGACCAGCAGGTGGCGCAGTGGTTAAGACACTAGGTTCCCACATGGCCAACTCTGGTTTAAGTGTCAGCTCTGGCAGTTTGCTTTCTCACTTTCCCTCTCTGGAGAGATGGAGCAAAAAGGATTTTGATGTGACCACATCCCATTGAGGGGTTCTTTTTCTCCCTGCATGTGCATGTGCCTACTGGCAATAAATTAAAACAAAATCCTGTTAAGATACACACCTCTGGGGGACCAGAAGATGGTGTAATGTTACATCACTAGACCCCCACACAGTCAATGGTGTATCGAGTCCTGGACCCGACAGCTTAAAACTCTCATGGGACACGTGTGTGTGCATTCCCAAAATCACCAGAGGAGAAGAGAAGGGCTTGTGGCATAGCCATCCCCCTGGGAGGTGATTTCTCACTTTTGGTCTCTCTGTCTCTGTCTCTGGTGAGCACACAATAAAATTTTAAAAATAAATAATTCTAAACAAAAAAAATACCATCTAGTACCTTGAAAAACATGGAGAGATGGAGCAAAAAGGATTTTGATGTGACCACATCCCATTGAGGGGTTCTTTTTCTCCCTGCATGTGCATGTGCCTACTGGCAATAAATTAAAACAAAATCCTGTTAAGATACACACCTCTGGGGGACCAGAAGATGGTGTAATGTTACATCACTAGACCCCCACACAGTCAATGGTGTATCGAGTCCTGGACCCGACAGCTTAAAACTCTCATGGGACACGTGTGTGTGCATTCCCAAAATCACCAGAGGAGAAGAGAAGGGCTTGTGGCATAGCCATCCCCCTGGGAGGTGATTTCTCACTTTTGGTCTCTCTGTCTCTGTCTCTGGTGAGCACACACTGCTATCCAAGGTGCCCGTGCTCACAGGTGTGGGACCCATGTCAAGACTATTGATGCGGGGGAGAACTGGGGGGAAGGTGTTCTCAACATGGGATGGGATCAGGCTATGAATCAGTCTGAGATAACAGAAGGTAACAGAATTGAGCCCTCAAGCAGCAAAATTCGGGGCCTACTGGGAGGGGAGAGGGAACCCCAGCCGTACAGCCTGAGGCTGTGGGAGCACCAAGGCCGCTAAAGGGTTGGGCACCTGCTGAGTGCCAGGTCCTTTATCACATGGAGCGAGCCCTTCACAGCAAAGCAATGCTATGAGCACTGTAAGCCCTACTCCACGGGTTCAGGAACAGCTTCAAGATAATTGCCAGACTGGCCTAGTCACTGAGTGACAGACAGACCTGGCTTGGTTCAGTTCCAAGTCTCCCCCTTGTCCCACTAGTCCACAGGACCCCTGTGAGGCAGCCTGGATGTGGTCCTGTGTGCTGCAGACCATTTCCAGCCCCTCTTCCTAGCGGGACGCTGTTCCAGGTGAGACCCAGCCTGCTCCTGTGGCCCAAGGCTGAATTGAGGGCAAGCAGAAGTCACAGTATAGCATTGTTGGTGAGGTCTGCAGGCCACAACTCACTCTTGTCTGCTGTCACAGAAATGAATCCAACCACTTAAGTGAGATACCTAGATACATAAGGCTCACTCCTTTACAATTTAAAAACTTTTTCTTTAAAATTCATTTTGGGGGACCAGCAGATGGCATAATGGCTACATTGTTGGATTCCCATGTAGTCGACTGTGGTTTGAGCCCTGGACCCGGTGGCTTAAACTCATGCCCGGTGCGTGTGCATGCATTCCCATTATCCCGAGAAGAGAATGGAAGAGAAGGGATTGTGGCGTGGCCATCACCCCTGGGGAGTGATTTCTTGCTTTCTGTCTCTCTATCTCCATCTTTCTGGTGAGCACATGTGCCCTATAGCAAAAAACTCTCCAAAAACATGTGCCCTATAGCAAAAACCTCTCCAAAAAAAAAAAGAAAGAAAGAAAAAGAAAGAAAACTCATTCTAGGGGCCAGCAGATGGTGTGGAGATTAAGGTGCTAAATCCCGCATGGTTGGCTGTGCAGTTTGAACCCAGACCCAGACCCAGCAGCTTAAAATCATGCCAAGCATATATGCATGCATGCCCAAAATCTTTTTTTTTTTGGAGAGGTTTTTGCTGTAGGGCATGTGAGCTCTCCAGAAAGACAGAGAGACAGAAAGCAGAAAGCGAGAAATCACCTCGCATGGGTGGCCATGCCGCAATCCCTTCTCCTCCATTCTCCTCTAGGGATCTTGGGCATGCACACACAGGCACCTGGCGTGAGTTTAACCTCCGGATCCAGGGCTAAAATCACAGTCGACCACATGGGATTTCAGCGACATAGTCATTATGCTAACTGCTGGTCCCCCAAAATCTTGAGAGGAGAAAGGATTGTGGCATAGCCATCTCCCCCTGGGGGCCGATTTTTAACTTTATCTCTCTGTCTTTCACTGGCAAACAATTCATTTTGGAAGGAAATCATTCTAGAATGTTACACTCCTCTTCAGCATATCTGCACTATAATATAAATTATCCTGTTCAGCTGAGGATCATTCACAGAAACGTATGATTTCTCTGCATTGTGACTTCAGAAGCTGTAACAGAAAGCAAGAGGAGCCTTTTGCCTTTATGCCAAATGACCCTAGATCATTTTTTAAATGCTTGTGTCTGCTTTAAAAGCTTTTTTATTTTTTCTTTCTCTCTTGCTACCAGGCTATCAGGGGTCACTTGCTAAATGTGTTTCTAATCTCCTAGTACAGGATCACGCATGGACATATTAACATTGTGTATGAAGTAAGGATAAGTAGGACATGACCGAAGACTGGAGAATCCATCCAACGCGTGGTGCATGAGTAATTTCAGCTGCTGAGCAGTCCTTTCTGCTTCCTTTAGACCCTGCATTGCTGCTCTGTAGTTGACCTCCAGGTTAAATGAAGCTTCACTGCACATTCCCAGGATTACCATCTGCCTCTTCCATTGGAAAAGTTCCCTGAGGGTTGCAATATACTAGAGATTGTTCCTCATACCAGGAGAGAGTTGAAATATTTGAGACAAGGAAAGCAGCAGAGCACAGAAATGAACATCTCTGGCACAGGAAGGACCTGGGTGGGTATCCTGATGTCTCCATTTTCCAGCTGCACGACTGCTGTGGGGATAGGCCAAGCACCTACTGCTCTGAGCCCTAGGGTCATAAAGATAAAAGGAGAGACTGCAGGAAAATGCTTAGCACAGCACCTGGCAAAAAACAAAAAAAACAGGGAGAGAAAAATATTAGCATGTGTGTTTGGGTACTTGAGGGAGTCAGGAAGAAGTGTGAGGACTTGAAGGGAAAGTGGACTATGCAGAAAAGGAGCCCTAAAGACGTGCTGCCCCAGCTTTCCAGAGGTGGACGTTATCCATTGCGCATCTGCCCCGCATGGCCCCGAGGGCTGGCGCGGGCTGTGTGGAGTTGGGGGCGCGGCCGGCACTCCATTTGAGAGTGGGGATTTCTTCTTTGAGAGGGCTGGCGTTCTCTCCTTTTTTTCTTGCTCTGATTAATACTGGCTTGGATGGCCTGGCAGGGAGGGCGAGAAGGTGAAGGAGACCCCACAATGGTTTTCACTTTCTTTAACCTAGTGGCAAAATAAAGCTGCCCAAACAAAACAGCCACATTTTCTTCCTCAGAGCCCCCATCTGTCCAGGGACCAGGCTGGAAAATGGGTACTTCCATGGCTTTTAGCCCAGAAGTAGCAGGCCGGCTCTCTCCTCCCCCAATGCTTACATCTGATTTGGTCTTTTTCTTTGTCTTTCGGGTCAGCTTTCAGTCTTTCTCTCACCCCTCTTTTTAGCCACTGAGCGCCCACTTTGGGCTGGATACGGGGCTGTGGGGCTAGCAATATGGAGATAAATGCCGCATCGCGCTGGCTCCTGGAGAAAGCCCTCCAGTTCCCTTGGGTCCCAGCGCCCTACCAACCTCGACTCCCTTGCCCACCGACGACCCCCTCACCCCTCTGAGCCCTTATCTCATCTGTCCCTGCGACTTCGTTCTGCCCTGCCTGAACCAGGCTCCGCTGAGTGTCTGCTCCCCGGGGAAGCGATACAAAGGGGGGGGGGGAGGAGGGAATCCCGCTGACATCACTGCTCATTAGCATGTGTGACCTCATCAGGGGGCGGGCCAATTTCCCCAGGTGTCGGGGGGAGGGCATGTGTGTGGGGGGGTGGTATTTAAAGGAAAAAGCTGACAGTGCTGCTGAGTGAGGGAGCGGGTGCTGCAAGCCGCTAGGCTGCACACGCACGCCGATGCACACGGACCCGGACACCGACATGGACACGGACACAGAAACCACAGCACTCTGCCCCTCTGGCGGCCACGGAGCTTCTCCCCCAGGGACGCCCACACCAGGTGAGGGCTAACCTGAGCCAGGTTCCAGCTGAAACCATGGGGGTGGGAGATGAAGCTTTGGTGGGAGGTCTGAACTAGGTGCTGAAAGAGCTTGAACCCAATCAGCAAGAGGGGAAGAGCAAGTCAGGAAGTGGAAAAGACCCCTGCTCCCAGGACCTGAGCTGGGCTAGGGGAGAATGCGAGATTTGCCTCAACGCCCCTTCCCCCATCATTCCCCAGGCTGTGCTTGGGAAACCGGTACGGCCTCTGGGTCAGCCCCATTCTCAAGAGGCTGGACAGGCAGAAGGGCACTGGAAGGAAAGGGGCATCCCCCAAGTCTGGGAATCACGGGCAGGGGGCTGCCCTGGGGACCTGTTGTAAGGATTTCTTCTGGCTCCTGGAGGCCCTGGCTGCCCGCCAGTATTGATCCTGGGCTATTTCCAGCCTCCCTCCACCCCTCTTTGTTGTGTCTGCTGTCCCTCCTCCAGTTCCCTGACCCGTGCATTGTCACTCTCCTTCTTGCTCACACAACACTCCCTCTCTCCCTCTCCACGAACACAACATTCTCTCCCACTCACCACTCGCGGGGACAGCAAGGGACGCAGAGGGTCACTCTCCCTCTCTCTCACACAACACTCCCTCTCTCCCTCTCCCTCTCCACGAACACAACATTCTCTCCCACTCACCACTCGCGGGGACAGCAAGGGACGCAGAGGGATTCTCACAACCATGCACGGGGGCCACAGGAAGAGCAGCCCTTCTCACGAACGCCCCCAGAGACCCACACACACATCATCTCAAAGAGCAAAGGCCCTTACCTGGGAACAGGCTCCCACAAAGTTTTCAAGCCTGCAAGTACCTACTCTCCAGAACTGGGCAGCATCTTGAGCTTCTCATCTCCTCTGGCCCTCCTGTTTGGGGAGTCCCGGGGTGGTGCTGAGGCTGTAGGAGCAGGGCTCTCAGTGAAAGGAGGGGCAGCCTTCCCTCTCCCTCCTTGCCCAGGGTCAGAGGCCTAGTCTGGGGGTATGCCTGTGTGTCAGTGTAAAGTGTGAGTGGGTGTGTGAGCCTGCGCAGGGGTGCCTCCCCTACATGGAGCACGTTTTAAAAGGTTGTGGCTGGGACCACACTGGGGAGCCATCATGTCAGCTCCTCAGAGCCTCCACAGTTCAAATGTCTGGGGGAGTTTAGCATAAGGGTTAGGCCAAAGATTCTCGGTTCCCAGTTCCCTCTGGGTCCTGGTCAACCAGTGTGGCTGGGCATCTGAGGCTGGAACAGCCTGGACTGAGCCCTCCACAGATGGCTGGGCAAACCTCACTCATAGCTTCCTTCTTTGTTTCCCTTCCCTCAGAAACAGATGCCACACTGCTGAAGAAGCCAGAGAAACTGTTGGCAGGGTTGGACCGGGATGGACCACCCTCCATCCCTGGGGTCCCCAGGCGAAGAGGCAGTATGCCTGTCCCCTACAAGCACCAGCTGCGGCGGGCCCAAGCTGTAGACGAACTTGACTGGCCGCCTCAGGCCTCATCTTCTGGTTCCTCCGACTCCTTGGGCTCAGGGGAGGCAGCGCCTACCCAGAAGGATGGCATCTTCAAGGTCATGCTGGTGGGAGAGAGCGGCGTGGGCAAGAGCACTCTTGCAGGCACTTTTGGTGGCCTGCAGGGAGACAGCACTCATGAGCTAGAGAGCCCAGGTATTTGGGGGAGCACTGCGGGGACCGAGAGGGCTCTGGGGCACTAGTCAGGGGTGGACGTACTCATGGCTTGAGCAGCCCCTGGAGCACAGAACCTAAGAGAAGCTTCTCCAACTCCAGAGGTAGTTCCCTGGTGCTAGGATCTGTGGTGTCCCTGGTTACCAAGTCTCACAAGTGTTGGGGACCCTCCAAATGGGCTTTATTCCCTCTCCCTATTTCCCAACAGAGGACACCTACGAGAGACGCATCATGGTGGATAAGGAGGAAGTGACTCTAGTTGTTTATGACATCTGGGAACAGGTAAGAACTAAGATGTAGCTATAAGATGAAGCTGGGAGAACTGGGGAAAGGCCAAGTTTGGCTGAATGTTGGTGGGCCTGCAGCCCCTGCTTTCAAAATATACTGGAACCTTACTTTTCATTTGCATCAGCTCAGAGAGCAAAGGCCCATGCTGATGTGCATACTGTGGCCTGTGACCCGTGGCCCATGGCCCCTGGCTCTAAAAACTGCTGTTTCCAGGATCTTTTGACACAGAAGGAAGTTAGGAACTGAATTTGACAAATTCTGTAGCTGCAAGCCCAGGCTGAACACCCTGAAACTGAACCCATCTATAAATGTTTCAGTTTGTAAGAGTTTGTTAAGACAGGACAAGAGCTCTGTTCCAGAAGGGTTCTGAAAGGGAAAAAAGCAAGGACTTATGACTATTCAGAACATAAAGGTTACAATGCAGAATTGAGAGGTCGAATTACATACACTTGAGTACCATTCATTTTTAAATCAACAGCTTAAGCATAAGGAAATAAGATAACCACCTTAGGATAGGATCCTATGTCCCTAATTCCCCCATGTGGGGCTCACATTACTATTTCTCACTCCTCCAAACACTCTGAGTATGGAGATTCTCCCATTAACTAGCTCTGCTGTCCCAAGCAGGTGGCTTCGCCCGCCCTCACAGCCCGACTCCTCTTTGAGACGTAGGTGGACAGATCTATGCCTCCTGCCGTTACATTCCAGCCTCTCTGCCTGTCTGCAGGGAGACGCAGGGGGGTGGCTGCGGGACCACTGCCTTCAGACCGGGGATGCCTTTCTCATCGTCTTCTCAGTCACTGACCGAAGAAGCTTCTCCAAAGTCCCAGAGACCCTACTTAGGCTCCGGGCTGGAAGACCCCACCACGACCTGCCTGTCATCCTCGTTGGGAACAAAAGTGACCTGGCCCGCTCCCGGGAGGTATCACTGGAGGGTATGTATCCTAAACCCTTTCCATACTTACAGTCTCGGAGAACACAGTCCCTTCCAGGTCACCTCTTCTCCGCTGACCTTTTCGCCCATGCACTGACTCACTTGTGTTTAGCCTAAGACTAAGGGCAGACTCCCAACGCCACACTCAGGGAATCAATCCTTCCTCTTCACTCCCTTCTCCAGGCCCTTCGCACCCTCGCTGCCCCATGTTATAATCTCAGCCTTGTCCTCTGTTGCAAGACTCATGAGTCCCAAATCCTTTTCCACCGCATGCCCTGGCCCTCCCCTGGCCCACCCTCGCCCGAGTCCAGCGCAGCCCTGCGGGGATCTGAGCCGACCCCTTCCTGCTGAGGGCCGCCACCTGGCCGGTACACTGAGCTGCAAGCACATCGAGACGTCTGCCGCGCTGCACCACAACACGCGGGAGCTCTTCGAGGGCGCGGTGCGCCAGATCCGGCTGCGGCGGGGCCGGAGCCGCGCCGGGGGCCAGCGGCCAGAGAGCTGCAGCCCGGAGGGCCCCGCGCCGCCCGCGCGCCGCGAGGGGCCCCCCCAGCAGGGCAAATCTTTAAGAGGTTGAGTGGCCACCCCAATGGAAAGATAACAGGGTCTCTCCTTCCCTCTCTACATTCCGCCAATCCTTGGGGGTGCCAAAATACTCAGCCCCGCTCCACCCCACAACCGGCTTCTTTCGTGGAGGCCGTCTAGGAAACCAAAAACTCCCGGGATGCCCTGGTGTGACCGCGGGGTGCAGGCCCGCAGGTCCCCTGCCGGCCGGGAGAGGGCCAGCCGGCGTCGCCCCCCCTGCCGCTTGGCGTTTTCCGCACATCTTCCGCCCGGGAGCTCCTAGAGAGCGAGGACACAGACCTGCGGGCGCGTGCGGAGCGGCTGGTGGGCAGGGCGGCTCTGGCGGGTCTGGAAAGAAAAAAAATCAAGAATTTTTTTGTTTTTGTTTTTAACCAACACGCGCTTGGCCATCTCTTCTGTAAAGAGACTCTAAAAGCGAGAACTGGACAAGTGCTTTATAGACTCCTTGACGGACCTTACCGTCTTTGTACTCTGTGTAAGTAGGCCTCACCTTTAAGAGCCTTAAAGGTAAATATATGGAGCCCCTTCTTCCAGAGACTTTTCAGGAACGTCCTGGTTCTCCTCTGTCTCGCTTGTCCACTGTACCTTTAAGAAATTCTTAAAGGCAAGGGTTTGGAAGCGCCCCTTCCTGAGATTTAATTTTGTGATTTATCATCCCACCATGGTACTGCCCCTTTAAGATCATTAAAGGCAAGGTGTGGACAGACTGCCTCTTAGATGCTCAAAGGTGGTAACCCCTTTTGGACCAGGCCCAGGTGGCATCAGCCAGTAGCCACCCTTCCCTTTTCAATAAAGAGTTTTTCTACTGCATTTGTTCACTTTGACTCTCTGTCCTTGGACCCCAGGGTAGGGATGGGTGTAGAGGGAAACCGCTGTTACAGACTAGAAAACTCAGTGGAGCAGGGAACGTAAATCTCTGGGGAGGCTCCGGAACTTACTTGGTTTGGGGTGGTCCTTATTGAGACACCACTGGCCCTTACAGTAATTGGGTTCACTTGGCCCTTTGCCAGTATGAAAGTAGGCCCAGAGACGAGCAGGGACCTGCTAGAAGTAACCTAATAACAGTGGCACAGTGAGACCAAGTCTCCAGGCCCTGGGCTCCATCTTACCATTCTATCCTGGAGGGAGGTGGCTGGAGACTACATTTAGCCCCTGGAGTTCTGCAACTTCGACTTGGACTGGTTCATGGTGCAGCCTGTATCCATCACCTCAGCTGGGGTATGATGGGGTCTGCCTGCACTTCACTGTGGCAGGGCCCCACAGCCCCAGCTGTCACCTGCAAAGCCCGTGTGAGTACTGAAGCTGTCACTGCCTCCCCTGGGGACACCCACGCCTGCTGCTGCCTGAGCCATGAGTTTGAACAAAGGGAGCAGAGGCAGCAGCTCCCCTCACCCCTAGACATGCAATACAGCTAGCTACCTGAGCACTTGAGGGCCAGACCCCCACCCCACTCTACCCCACTCTACTCAGTCTCCCAGAATGTAATGGAAAGAGGGGAAAGATGTCCCTGAATCCTGGCAGCTGAGAAACCAAGGGGGACAAACCCAGCCCTGGTGATTATGAGATGATAATATGAATACAAGCACTATACTAGGGTTTATACACTTTATCTGTTACTTTTTTTTTCTAGTTTTGCTATAGGAAACAGTTTAAGTAACTTACCTGAAGTTATCCGGTGAAAAAATGAGCTGGGATCGCACTTGTGTCTGCCTAATAACTAACAGTAATTTAACCAACTTTGCATCTGAGGCTTCACTTCCAATAAGCAAGTGGAGAAGAGGAAGGACAGCAAAAGAGATGCACGGACATATAGGTAGGACCACGTGCAGTGGCTGTGATGAAAGGGCCAGCCAAATTGCATGGCTATAGTGGAGCAAGCAAGCTCTAAATTAGGGACCATGAACAGAGGCAGTTTACAATTTAAAATGCAGAAAAACACACTGGGCCCATTAAGGGACCAGATGGTTCTACAGTTGGGTTGAAACCTCAGGGACATGAAGAGGAGGGGTAAGAGACAAGCATGAACAAGAAGGTTTGGAGTGCCACTGTGGGGGACCTTAAATGCCAGGCAGTTTGTGCCCAAGTCTTTAGGCAGTGGGAGTCACTGAAGGTCTCTGAGTGTGGACATGACATATCAGGATGGTCTTTGGGAGCAGGAGGCTGGGAGGGGGCACACAGACTGGGGCAGCAGAGGCAAGGCCTGAGGAGTCTAGGGACCGGTAACAGGAATACATATGGAGGATTCTAAAGGATTATCCCAAACAATGACAGCGAGAAAGGAAGAGGCGTGGATTTGAGGTTCAGAATGATGGGACTAGGCAACTGAATGAGTTAAAAGAGAGGAAAGAGTTGTAGGTAGTGGGAGGGTGGTGAGAAACTAGGAGTTAGGGAAAAGAGAAGGGGGGCGGTGAGTAAGCGAGCTCCATGTTGGAAACTCTGGTTTTGAGATGCTTGAACATCTATATAGAATTTCAGCAGCTCCCTGGACAGCTGAGTCTGGGATTCAGAACAAGCTGGGGCAAGAGACACAGAGGTGAGAATAATCACCATAAACCTGGTATTGGAAGAGCCAGAGGAAAGGATTAAGTGCAGGGTTGGCTTTTTTTTTTTTTTTGGAGAGATTTTTGCTATAGGGCGCATGCGCTTGCCAGACAGAAAGAGAGAGACATAGAGACAGAAAGCGAGAAATCACCCCCCAGAGGGGATGGTCACGCCACAATCCCTTCTCCTCCATTCTCCTCTCGGGATCTTGGGCACGCACGCACACGCGCCTGGAGTGAGTTTTAAGCCACCGGGTCCGGGACACGAACCACAGTCGCCTACGTGGGAATCCAGCAACATAGCCATTACGCTAACTGCTGGTTCCCGGGTTGGTTTTGTTTATGTGTGACATGCACAGTCACACAGGCTCCTTGCTTAGTTGAGCCTTCTCCTGTCATGTCTTAAAATTCTTTGGGAAAAAAAAAATTATTTGAACAAGGAACCCAGCATTTTCACTTTGTATGGGAACCCACAAATTACGCTAAAGTAGATACTAAAACAGAAGGTACAGTACAGGGTGAAACCCTTAGCCTTAGCTCATAGATGAGGTGTTATTTTTTTTTTAATTTGCCAGAGGGCATATGCACTTGCCAGAGAGACAGAGACAGAGAGGAAGAGGGAAAATGAGAAAGCATTCCCCAGGGAGGTGACCAACACCACAATCCCTTCTCCATTTCTCTCCTTGGGATTTGGGACATGTACGCACACATGCCCAGCATATTTTCCAAGCTACTGGGGCCAGGACTTGAACTGTACAGTCAGCCATGTGGGATCCAGCCTTCACAACCACTATGCTATGGACTGTCCCGATTCTTTTTTTTTTTTTGGAGAGGTTTTATGCAATACAGCGTGTGCACGCGCCAGACAGACAGAGAGAGACAGAGAGACAGAAAGCAAGAAATCACCCCCCAGAGGGGATGGTCACGCTGCAATCCCTTCTCCTCCATTCTCCTCTCAGGACCTTGGGCACACACGCACACGCGCCTGGCGTGAGTTTAAGCCACCAGGTCGGGACGCGAATCACGGTCTAATACATGGGAGTCCAGCAACATAGCCGTTATGCTAACTGCTGGTCACCCGATTCTTTTTTTATAAGGTTTCTTTATTCTGAGGGAGAGAGCACCCCTAACAGGATTTTTCTATTTTTTTAGAATTATTTTATTTAACTTTATTTATTTATTTAAATTTGACCAGAAAGGGACAGAGTGAGCGAGAGAGAGAGAGAGAGGGAAAGTGAGAAAGCAAGGCGCCAGGTCTGCAACTTGACACACAGTCGACCACGTGAGAGTCCAGCACCCTTAACCACCGCAACACCTGTCAGCTGCCATAACAGGATCTTAATGCCATGACCTACTCCTAGTCTTTGTCCAGTCCTGGGTCATGGGCATATGTATGCTTGGGGTACTCAGGGAGGTCTCTGGACTTGAACTGAGAACCTTCCCATATGAGATTGCCCTGTTGTGTTTTACTATTGTGCCATCATCTGGCCCCAAAGTCTGTGATTCTTGAGAAATGGTACATCCAATCTTATGTGCGTGCAGTTTTGCATCTGTCTTTGGATAGGGTTCACAAATTTCATCAGACTCATAGAAGGTTTGTGATCCAAAAATGATAAACTATTGATGGTACTGATTGCCTCTAGGACGGAGAACTAGATAGGAAAAAGACAGGGCTGGGAGGTTTATTTTTCTTTGTGTGCCCTACTAAATTTTTGTTTTGTTTTTGTTTTTTGGAGAGGTTTTTGCTATAGGGCGCGTGCCCTCGCCAGACAGACAGAGAGAGAGACAGAGAGACAGAAAGCAAGAAATCACCCCCCAGGAAGGATGGCCACGCCGCAACCCCTTCTCCTCCATTCTCCTCTCAGGATCTTGGGCAAGCACACAAACGCGCCCAGCGTGAGTTTAAGCCACCGGGTCTGGGACATGAACCACGGTCTACTACATGGGAGTCCAGCAACATTGCCATTATGCTAACTGCTGGTCCCTAATTTTTTTTTTTTTTTAATTTTACCAGAGGTGAGCCAGCAGGTGGCATGGTGGTTAAGGTGCTGGATTCCTATATGAACAACTCTAGTTTGAGACCCAGACCTGGTGGCTTGTTTTCTCACTTTCTCTCTCTCTCTGAATGTGTGTGTCTCTCTCTGATGAGCACATGTGCCCTATAACAAATTTTAAAATAATAATAAAAACAAAATTAAATAAATATTTTAAAAATTTTCCTTCCTTTTGGTCAGTACCATCATCTTCCAGTAATTAACCAAAATGATAAACACAAAGAAAAGAGGAGAGTCACCCAATATATGTTCTCTAGGCCTTTTAGAAAACATGGAGTGGTTCCTCTGGCAACATATATGGGGAATCCCCACAAGTTTACCATGGCAAAACTGGAAGAGTCTACTATGTTACCCAGCATGCTGTTGGCATTGTTGTGAACAAACAAATGAAGGGCAAG